TTCCCATTCAGTATTACCTTATTCCTGATGCAACCTCCTAAGGTGGATTTATATTTTAAAAATGGATGGCAGTTACGTGACACATTTTAAACTATCTCACCTTCTGCTGGTCCTGGATTGATTTTAATTTTGTGGATTTTTAAATTAATACTTGAGACTATATGCTTTGTGTGCCCACCACACAGTAATTTTCAGATACAAACCATACAGACTACATCCAATGTATGTACACACAGGGTTTTTGGTTTTTTGGTTTTTTTTAAAAAAGAGGTGCTAGAACTTTCAAGAGGGAAATGAACTTTTCAATCTGTATATTGAAAACTCATGAACTTTTAAACATTTTAAAAAGAATTTTGTCAAAGAGGTTCCAGAACTCCATTCCGGTGCATTCCCCCAGAAAAAAAGCCCTGCTTACATAACACCAGTTATACAGAATACACACCTAGAATACCACTCTCCTCTACTTCCCTTTCCTGGATTTCCAACATCCAGGATCATTGACATAACTTAATATCCATTTTTATCTTAGTTACAGCTTATATTTGTTTACTTGAGTTTGCACTTGAATGCCACGCATGGAAACAACAATCACAAAGTCTGAATCAGCACTTACTGGAATATTACAAGCAATGATAATATTCCACTGGTGGACTCTTCAGTAGTACCCCCTGAAATACTGCCCTGGGAGTCCAGCACTTAGGGGAGGAAAAACTCTTGCAGTCTACTTTGGTTTTTTAATGTGAAATATGACAGATTTACAGGTCAAGTATAACAGGTGGAACAATCATTGTCAGAACCCATGACTAAATTAACAAACAGGAAGTTGCTTAAACGTTATCAACCTGCCCAAACTACTTATTTATTCAAATATTTATATCCCACTTTTACTATGACTCAAGGCATCTTGCAAATCATACTGAAAAGCATAACAGGGGTGTGCAAAAAAAAATCAATTCCCCCCCTGCTCCATTATATCCTATGGGGACCATTATAGTCAATGGGCCCCTTAAGCTATAATGGAGAATCAATCTGGGGGTATCCGGGAGGGGCTGTTTTTTTGAAGTAGAGGCACCAAATTTGCAACATAGCTGCTGGTGCATCTCCTCCAAAAGATCACCAAGTTTCAAAAAGATTGGACCATGGTGTCCAATTCTATGGGCCCCAGAAGGAGGTGCCTCTATCCTCCATTGTTTCCAGTGGAGGGAAAAATGCTTGTGAGCTGGAACCCAAATACCCTAAACTGGCAGCTAAAATTTTGTATGCCAGAACCCACTAACACAGCTTAGAGGGAACACTGCCTGGGACTCAGGGGAGCCCCAGGAACAGTACCAGATACAATGCAGGGGTGGCAGTGGCAGAGAAAATTGGTGAAAATTGTCATCCCCCTCACCCTGCCCTTACACTGGCAGAAAACAAATGTTGGAGATTACCATAAAATGTTCTAAACTAGACTTTTTCATAATATGCTAGTTTTCTTGGCACAAGAAGTTCTTCTGAGATCAAAAAGCAGTCAAACATGCAATTAATTATTAATTTTCCTGCAGTACAAACTGGTACAATCCCAACAGGACTGCATCACATGCTTATTCTGAATGTGTAGATTGGATCTAACAATCCTGCACTGGCATAACATTTACCATCCTCAAATAAAACATAGTTTACCTATTTGGTGCTCTTTTATTATGCCTGACTATAAATATTTTGCTGTATTTCCCCTAAATACATCTGTTTCACTGTTTATAATTACTCTTTTACTCAGTCAAAATGCCAATCAACCTTGTCACTTCTTGGTAGTATACGACACAAGCTTAGTTTCCTGAGGATGGAAATGATGAGTTTGGATTTAGAAGTCTCACTGTTTTAATGTTAACCAAAACCTGTAAGTGCCTGGATTTATGCAGCTTCCAACAACTATGAGGGAATAAACCCAAATCTGAAATGTGGTTTGCTTGTTTTCTCTTGAGTGCTAGGGCTAGAATACACAAGTAGTTAAATGACATACAACTTAACCTTACTATTGTTTAAAATTTCATTTTACAAAATGTAGCTGTAGAGACTGAAGTATGCAATGGAAAAGCTACATGGAAGTTTTCTGCCAAATTTCCGCCCTGTGAGGGAAAAGATATGGACATCCACTGCTTATTGCAGTCTCTGTGGCTGCATTTTGTAAAGCAGCATCAGTGAAAAGTGTGAGGGTAATATGTAGTTTGGGCTTTAAGGTGAAATGTCCAGACTCCAGAGTGAATCTTAATGGGATACTCAAGGTGGTTTAATAAGATTGGCTCCTGGATCCATGACATTGGTATTCAGTGGGCTACTTCCTTTGATGCCATTTTTACAGATTTCTCCAGCACCATCTGGCATAGTATTAGCTGTGAGAAAATATTTCTAATGAAAAGGAATAATGTGTGAGCCATCTCTCACCATCACCATGATTCCAAACATCACACAACAACTGTAATGAAACAACTATCAGGCACAAAAACACCTTGTTGCCCCGCTTGCTCTTCCTACCTCTTCTCATGCATGGAGCTTGACTGAAAACCTTCTGGTTGGATCAAGCTCCAGTCTGTTGTGCTATTCAAATGCAGCTACCAAAGCAACTTGGAGTATGTTTCCCCCCACAGGCCAAGATTCTGATCTTTCAGTATATTTTTCAGAAAGGTGGCACCTATATTCAAGTGTCATGGCAAACTGGAGCTTGATCAAACTGAGACGTTTTCAATAAACTCTGTCAAACAGACTTCTGAAATGGATGCTGAGGAGAATTCAGTCTGAATTCAGCCCTGACTGAGAGCAGTTTAACACAGACAGAACTGGGGGAAGGTTGGCAGGAAGGGTGGGCATCTTCTGGCCTGAAATCTAGAACATCTTCTGGCCTGAGACCTCGCTGGATGCTACCCCTATCATTGGATGTGATTTAGATTATCACCAGCATCTGTCGGTTTTATTTGTAAACTGTTGCTGTTTTAATTTGGTATTGTGTTTATTAATTGTTTTAACTCTGTATTGTTTATGTTATTTTAACTTTGTTAGCCGCCTTGAGCCAGCGTGTCAGGCAAGGCGGGATACAAATAGGAGCAATAAATAAATAAATAAATCAGGGAAGACTCCCATTCAGGCCAGAAAAGGGGATAGTGAGAGAAGAATTTTCCTATCCAGTCATACCAGGGAGATAGCTTTTAAGAGTAGAGAAATCCCTGTAGTTAGAAACTGCCTTATGAAACCTTATGAGACAGATAAAACTCAAGAAGAGTACTGATGTTTTTAGAGAAGGGGTTTGAGTACTGGATAGAGTGTCCTAGCCTTCTGGAAACCAAAAGAGTCAGTCAATGCTCAAAGAAAGTATACTGGAATGTTTGGAAAACACTGAACAAAAGCATCTTAAATATCCTAAGTCACTGTGAAAAGCTTATCAAACTCTCAATAGCCTGAAACATATAAACTAAAGTCTGTGCATATACTGATTTACATCAGAGTTCTATACTGAGGCCCCGGTCACACGGGCCGAATATCGCGCGGGGGAGGAAGGCGTGGCTAATTGCCCCGGAGGAAACTAACGTGCGGCCGCCAGAGCACACATCCTGGTCGAGGTCCCGTGGTTAGGGGGGAGATGCCGACCAGACGGGTATCCTGCAGCGTGGCACAGAAGCCGCGCCGCGCGATCGCACTAGCAATCGCTCTTTGTGCGCATGCGCTGTTGGGCGCTGTTGTGCAACCTGCGGAGACTTGGGAGACAAAAAACCCCCTTGTGTGCGACGAACAGTGGCGGATGTCAGATGCCATGTAAGTCCACCGGAAACGCGATCAGACGACCGCCCTTGCCCCGCGGTTTTCGGAAACTAGTACCTCGGAGGTACTAGTTTTTTACTCCGTATCTTTGGTGGGAAGCCTCGGGTTAGCCACGGGAGCTCTACGCTTCCCAGATATTGTGGTGTGATCGCGCCCGGAAAATCCACCTACCATCTGTATCATCAGCGCGGCAAATGCTCCATGTGACCGCAGCCCGGGTTATCTCAGAAACTTTACCCCTGATTTCCCCTTACCTTTCCCCTCTATGTCAAATAAAATATTTTGTTAATTTGGAATTTCAGAATGCCTCGAATGCCGTTTCAGTTTTTTAAGTTAAAGGGGGCTCTCGACCAGTGTTCCCTCTAAGCTGAGTTAGTGTGAGCTAGCTCACATTTTTTTATCCTCCAGCTCACACATTTTTGTCTTAGCTCAAGAAGGATGGCTTCAGAGCACACTAATTTATGCAGTAGCCAAATTGCTTGCTCGCAACTTCAATGCCAGCAGCTCACAAAGTAGAATTGTTGCTCACAAGACTCCACGGCTTAGAGGGAGCACTGTTCTCGACCCTTCCCTCAGGTTCCTGGGCTGAGCCAACAGGCAAAATATCATACTGTGACAGGGTGGGACAGCCAGAGTTCTTCAGGACAGATAACTAAGGTGGCTCAGTCACAAAGGGAAAGAAAAATGGAGGGAAAATCTTGCCTCTCAGGGAGGAAAGTGGATGTGGGCGTCATATTATTCTACACCAAAGTCCAGTGAATAACTCAGCTAAATCTTGTCAACAAATGTTATTTTTTACCAACATCCATTTAGAAGCTGCATAAAAGTGATAAAATCTATGCTAAAGAAATCAGATATGACAAAACAACCATGTTATTTAGCATAATAATGTGTGAGGCAAGGAATGTCCTGTAATATTTTTAAAGATTTTAACAACAATCCCTGTGCTTCAACTATTAAAAACAAATGTATTTATAGTAATATTTTAAGGTTTCTGAGAATAAATTGGTATTCCTTTTAAAAATATCTATCTGTGGTTCATGTGCTAACCTACTGGATTCATCCTTCATGCAATTCCAGTTTATTAAAGAGGTTAAAAATTTACAAAACTCTGATGGGATATGGTTTTAATGCTTCATCACACCACCCATCATTTGCTTTTCAATCTAGATCAGAATGATCTTTCCTACTTCCCTGCAATCACCTACCTGCACAGCTAATATTTTCTGAACATTCTCATGAGAGACTGCCTGGAACTTCGCCAGCCCGGCTTGGCTATAGAGGCCTCGCAGTTTGAAGTACTCCACCAATACCTTGTGCATCTTGCTTTGCAGCCGAAAGAGCTAAAAGAGGAAAGGGGAAAAAATAAGTCAGAGTGGGAGAGGAAATTAATGGCAGTGTTCAAGAAGAATGATGGAGGGAAATATAGAAAGCAGTCAATAGCCCATTCTGCACTGTACGGACCTGACAGGAATTTCACAGTCTCTTGATTTTTCAGCCCACTCATGTGCATTCATCAGAAACCAGTCACATCTGGCTGCCAGGATGGGGGGTTAATTTTCTCTAAATGCCTCAGCAGTTTTGTTCTAGCTGAGGCAAACTCTGTGACTGCAAAGCTGATGAGTAAAATATTTCTACTTCACCCAGTTTAACTCAAAACCGATAGCCTCAGGACATATTGAACCTTTCTTAAAAAAATAATCTTTTGAAGCATTTTGAATGGCACATCAGGTCAGGCCAAAGTTTAAAATGCAAGTTTAAGACTTTGATGGACACTGTGGCTCATTTTTCCTTGTAAAGCTTATCATAGCTTGGCAATGTGTGCTTCAGAGCATGACAAAACTAAAGAGAATTAACTTCACCATCAGCAGCTGAGGGAGAACAATAACAGGAAAGAAATTTCCAGACAGAACTCCCTATTAATCTACCTAGCTATAACCATGTGACATGAAAGCATCTCACTGCACTAAATTGCAGTTAAAGCAGCAGCTGAAAGTGACACTACTGTATCTATATATCTAGACACCAGCACAAGTCTACACAAATGTGTGGAAATTTCACTTCACAAAGGACATTTCAAATGTGGAGTTTTCCCTCTACAAATATTTCTGACTGTAAAACAATTTAGTTTAAAATGTTTTCAAAATCTGACAGTTATTCCTACCACAATCTTTAAGAATTTGTTTTGATATCACATTTATTTTTAGATGTTCTAACTTAAAATTCCACAGAGATGTAAAATCTGCCATTTATATTTGAAAAATCTGTAAATAGCTAATATTTTTAAATGATTTGTGAGAGGACCCTAAAAATCACAGTTAGATGTACATGTTCAGATGAAATCTAAACTTGTCCCCCAACAGCTCCTGTGTCAAATACTGAACTATTTTTGAAACTAAGGGGACATTAAAAGACACTGCCCCCAATCCACCCCACCCCTCAAAATTCTCCTGTCCTTTTCTAAAGTAGGCTCTTTAAATTCTGGAGACAATATTGGTTAGATATTAGCAGTAGAAACCATTGATAACCCTGAACATGGCAAATCAATAAATCTAAATGTCAAGATGGCCCCTGCAGGTACTTAAATCTGTGGATTGAGGCCATGTTGAGAGAATGGAGATTGTCCTCCAAATTTAGGGGACAACCCAGGTTAGCAGAAAAACCACAATTTTCAAAAGGAGTGATTACAAGAGGAAAAAAAGGAAACAGAGGGCAGATGTCTGTTTTTTTGCAAGCAACTGTCTTCTGGTCATTGCTGCTGGTGGGTGGGGCAGGAATGGAAGCGTCCTCCTCCCATGTCTGCTGCTGAGGCTGCAGTGCTAGAGGCAGAGAGTAAGTTGCCACTGCTCCCTCCCTCTGTGGCTGAGGCAGTGGCTTTAGAGGTGGGCAAAGAGAAGTGGAAGCCTCTGCTGGGCTCCCACAGTCCACTTTCTGCCACCAATCTGTCAGGCCCACCATGGCTCTAACCGCCGCAGCATGAGGTACACATCCATGCTGATGCATAGAATGATGGGGGGGGGGTTGTGGTTGTGTGGCCAGAGTGGCAGGGAGAGGAACAGGTGGGCAGGCATGAATTTTGCTTTTGAACTATTTAATATAGATTTAGCAAGAAGGAACCTGCAAAATGAAAGGGGGGATTTCTCAGGCAGGGAGAGTGGTGGGGAGAGGGTTGGTGAGTTAAATTCCCCATTTCATTTTGCAGGTTCCTTCTTGCTAAATCTATATTAAATAGTTCAAAAGCAAAATTCATGCCAGAATAATACCAGTAAAATGTCAGTCACTATTGTTTAGTGCATGGTCACTTTAACACCCTGTCAGCTAGACTGAAACAATGGCATAATGTTTCTTCACAAATCTTCCAGTTTGCTGAAGTCAATACCACACATAAAACATTAATAAAATGACTTTTCATCAGGTAAAGAAATCGTACTTCAGTGGCCAATACTTTGTACCCTGTCCAAATCTAATTTTCAAAAAAAATTCTTTGCAATGAGGATAGATAAATCAGAGGAATTCAAAGTATAATTTAGAAGCAGTATTAAAAATGCATGGTCCTTTCACACATATTCAACATCCAGTTTCTTTGGCTTCAATAGAATCTTTGAAAACACTAAACAAAACAAGTTGGTAGCCTGCAAGGAATTTCCAGGGGAGGGAGGAGTCACTAGGAATTTTCCCCTGGATCCCAGTCAGCATATTATTAGCTCTTAGGGGCTAACACCCCCTCCCCATTTTTTCCTTTAACTTGATAAGCAGATACCCTCAACATTCTGTTTCTCCTAGACCATGCTTAGTCCCATGACTAAGGGAACGTAGTCTTTTTTTAAATCTATGAAGTTTTTTTTTTTAAGGCAGCCATCCTACAATGCAAAAACCCATGGTTTGGATCCAACAAAGGGTTTCTGTTGATTGTAAAGGGAACAATTTTTGCTGATTTCTCCCTCCTGCTGCAGATCTCCAGCTCTCCCTCATGCTATTCCTGGAAGTCCTTTGTACCCCAAGAGCAGCATTCCTGGGGATATTTTGGGCTGCATGCGGAGCCGGGGGAGTGAGGAAGTTGTACCACTGGATCTAAGCCCATATCTTGTCTCTGCATGGCCCCATTTTACTGCTCTACTGATACGCACTCAACCACAAAAATTTTTAAAATTAGAAGCAATGATTAATAACATGAAAATAGGTATAATATTGAATAATACTTGGCATTATATAGTGCTTTTGGAACACTCAACATTTAATTGTAATCACCATTTAATTTTATAGTTGCTTTATTTTACTATTATGCATTAACAAGCAATGTATGCTATAAAATAATCATATTAGAGAAAATTTGAATGTATGATGGTCCCAATTTGATAGAAAATCCTCAGTTAGCAAACCAAGCGTATGATTTTATTTTCCTCTTATTAAAGTTCAGTGGATCAGCACAACATACTTTCATAGCTTGGGATCCAAGATCTGTACGTATGTCCAATGTCTTGTGCTCATCCAATGCATTTTTTTTAACTGCTGACTAGGGTTACCAGCTCCTGGAAAACATAAACCTGGCAAGTACTGGGGTCTGACCTATGGCTCATCCACTTTGTAGTTGCTGAAAAACTAAAGTAGGAGGGCAAGGAGTGGGAATGGATAGACCAGCAGCAGAAAGGAAGGTTTTGTAAACCCTACTCACTATCTTTAAGCAATTAATTATTTAACTATCATATGGCAGTGTGTGCAGTATAGCCAGGAGATCTGAAGATAGTCTGGCAGCCGGCAGTTCTAATTCTTTTAGTGTTATGCACCACTAGGTGGTGAGCTAGACTTGTTTTTAAGGCAAAAGATGTTTCAGATGTTTGCCATTGCCTGCCTCTGCATCATGCCCCTGGTATTCCTTGAAGATCACCCATCCAAATACTAGCCAGGACCGACCCTGCTTGGCTTCCGAGATCTGACAAGATCAGGCTAGCCTGTGCTATCCAGGTCAGGGCATCCTGAAGCATTTGGTTCATGACAGGATGACTCTAATAACTTCAGGTGAGACTGAAGAGAACTCTCCAATCTCACTGGAAGTGATCTGAATAGTTATAATGAAGGAAGCAACTGGCTTTTCTCCTATTTCCTCCAAAAACTGAGATCTAGAAATTAGCCAGAAGGAAGAAAAACTGGTCATTCCAGTGTAAAATGGGCCAGTTGGCCAGTTGGCAAGCCTAACTGACCAACAACGACATACTGCAAGCTGCTTTAGAAACTCTCCTCAATTTCAACTTTTTTGTCATATAGTAATTGGATAGAATAGCTGCTTGAGAAATAAAAGCTTAGATCAAGTGATGCATGAATTTGGAATTCCATCATCAAGTCTCCCAAAGTGAATTTAACTGCAAAAATCAGCTGTAAAACACAGCACATGCAAGGGAAATTAACTCTCCCTTCAGTACTCCCAAGTCAAAAATCCTTGTAGTAAGCCTTGGTAGTGAAAAAGGACAAACACAAAATAGATACCTGTCTTTTTTTCCTCCTGTAGCTTAAGCAATTTGGGGGGCATTTTTGACAGAGTTAAAATAATTCCTCAGTGAATCCTGATCCAAATTTGGGGGGGGGGATGCATTTTTTGCCTCCGTCTTCACTGTGGAAGATGAGAGGTGCTTGCCCACTCCAGAGCCGCTGAGTTCGGGAGGGGTGTTGAAAGACCTGAGTCAGATTGAGGTGACGAGAGAGGAGGTCCTAAAACTGATAAACAACTTAAAAACTGATAAATCACCAGGCCCAGATGGCATACATCCAAGAGTTCTGAAAGAACTCAATTGTGAACTTGTGGATCTCCTGACAAAAATATGTAATCTCTCCTTAAAATCAGCCTCCATTCCTGAGGACTGGAAGGTAGCTAATGTCACTCCCATCTTTAAAAAGGGTTCCAGAGGAGATCCGGGAAATTACAGGCCAGTCAGTCTGACGTCGATACCGGGTAAATTGGTGGAAACCATTATTAAGGAAAGAATTAGTAGGCACATAGATGAACAAAACCTATTGAGGCAGACTCAACATGGGTTCTGTAAGGGAAGATCTTGTCTCACTAACCTGTTAATGTTCTTTGAGGGGGTGAACAAACATGTGGACAAGGGGGATCCAATAGATATTGTTTACCTTGACTTCCAGAAAGCTTTTGATAAAGTTCCTCATCAAAGGCTCCTAAGCAAGCTCAAAAATCATGGGATAAAAGGACAAGTCCTTTTATGGATCAAAAACTGGCTAATTAATAGAAAACAGAGAGTGAGTATAAATGGGCAGTTCTCCCAGTGGAGGGGTGTAAGCAGTGGGGTACCACAGGGATCAGTACTTGGTCCACTGCTTTTTAACTTGTTCA